TCATTGTATTTTATTTATTAATGAAAATATTTCTGTTGAATTTTGTAGTCTTTGTTTTTATCCTTGTGGTATCGAAAATTGTATCCAGTATCGAATATTTTCCTTAGTATCGGTATCGAGTTGAAAAGTTTAGTATCGTGACAACCCTACCTAACAGTCATGTTTTTGGACTGTGAGAGGAAGCCGGAGTACCCGGAGAGAACCCACACATGCTCAGGGAGAACATGCAAACTCCACCTGGAAAGACCCCGGGCCAGGAATTGAACCCAGAACCTTCTTGCAGCAGTGCTACCCACTGCGCCACTGAGCAGTAGGTACCACTGGGCAGCAAACCAACTCAAAATAAATAAAGGAAAAACAACTGTCTCCGTAATATAGATGAGTCAAAATAAATTCCTGCTGAAAAATGGGAAACTGATTTATCTGTTAGGCATGATCAAATCTGCCACAGAACCTTTAACATGACTAGAAATCCTAATTTATAACTAATTCAATGCTAAATCCTTCGTAGAGTACACTATACAGGCCAACGGATGTTTAAGGTGGGTTTTGCACAGTCTGATATCTGCTTGCCATGCTCCAGTAATGCACCAGATTACTATATACGTGCTATATACATGGTTATACAATTCTGTACAGTATTGGGTCGGGACTTCTGGAGGCTGGGTGCATGGTCTTTGTGGTTTGGGAGGTGGAGGGAAAGTGGCGGCCTGGGATTGAAAGTATAATCCGGCCCAATAAGCTTCAACCCATTTTTGACTTGCCTTTCATTTCTAAATCACTTGAAAAAGCAGTTATCTCTCAAATTCAGTTCCATCTAACTTATACAAACCTGTATGAATAATTCCAGTATATTTTCCGGCCCCGCCACAGTACTGAAATTGCTCTCCTAAAAATTACAAACAACCTTCTAAGCCAATTCTGGTCTCATTTCCATTCTTATCCATATGAAGTCCTTCTACTCACATCCATCCCGTCATTTCCTGTGTGCCACAGGGCTCTGTCCTGGGGCCCCGACATTTAATTATCTACCTTCTGCCGCTTGGTAACATCTTTCAAAATTTCAATATCCACTTCGTTGTTATGCGGATGACACGCCAGCTCTATTTATCTGGTGCGTCTAACTCCCAACCCCCCCATGCATCCCACACTTCGTGTCTTGCCGAAATCAAAGCCTTGTTCATCTCTAACTTCCTGCAGCTTATTACAACAAAATAGAGATCCTCCTGCTAGGAACCAAATTGATTTTATCCAGGATTGACAGTTCCACTGTCTCTCCCTCTCCTCAGGTCAAGGGTCTGGGAGCAATCCTTGATAGCACTCTGCCATTCACCTCCCACATCAATAACAATACCCGTTCTACCTATTTTCACCTACAAAGCACTCATCATCTTCGTCCCTCTCTTTCCCTGCTTCTTCTCTCATCCATAGCCTTGTCACCTCCCACATCGATTACTGCAATTCTCTTCTTTTTGGTCATCCCCAGAAATATCTTTATAGACACCTCTCAAATCTCCTTCAGATTGCTATCCCCTCCCATAGCCTTAGATCTTCCTCTTCCATCCACCTTGATGAGCCTCCTGCCCGCCTTGTCACAATGGGGAGAAGAGCGGGAGAAAGCTCAGATCCCAAACTCTGAAATTCACTCATGTGTTCAAGACTGCATACCTGCACTGACTGCCTCCACTGTTTTTAATATAGTGTACATTATATGACATTGTGTATTTTGATTGTTTCTTGTGCAGTGGGTGTACAGAGTCAGTGGGTGTCCTTGGGGGTCCTCAAAGGTGTTTTAAATAAAATGTATAAATATTATTCACATACCCTCCCATTTAAGAAAATGATGAATTCACAATAATAATTCAAGTAATAAATTTTAACTAAATACTTTTGAAAAATAAGATATTTACTTTGAATTTTTATTGTAAAAAACTTGTTTAAAAAAATGTCCTAAGCAAATGTAACTACCTTGCTCATAACCACTGAACCAACATACCTGTCAACAGGTGCAGTAGTCTTTCCTGAACTTTACAGAAAATACCTGATTTCAGTGATTGCATCAAAGCTTTCTCCAGTAGAGTTCAATTTTATATATATATATATACACACACACACATATATATATATATATATATATATATATATATATATATATATATATATATATATATATATATATATATCGTTTTGTTATCACAGTTAAACAATTAATTGTTTTCTTGAGATAACAAGATAATTATAGATAACAAGATAATTATCTCATTATCACGAGAAAACAGTTATTGATTTCTGGAAATAACAAGGTGATTAACCTGCATGAGTAATGATTGAGTCTGGCCAACAGCCGTGGATTCCCAGTACATCCATGCCTGCAGTTTCTGTAGTTGTGCAGTGGCGATACCACGTATGCACAAATAATCAGTTTTTTTTTTTTGTTTCCTTTTTATTTTCACTCATTGTCAGGTTGTGATTTATGATTGGATTGCATGGAATATAGTAGAAACAAATCTGACTGTTTTTAATAAAAATCTTTAATCTGGACTCATTTTGAGGGTTACAGGTGTAACACCCGGGCTGTTCATAAAACACGAGGTATAGGTCTAATTTCATATGAAACAGAAGTCGAAGCAAATTATCAAACCATCAACGTCATCTCACAACCTAAAAGTTAAACTAAGAATTACAGAAGTAGTCTGCCATGACTTATACTTCTAAATCCTCTCCCGCTGTTGTGGTATTGAAGGATGGAATCAGTTTTAACATACATTAATCATCTCGTTATCACAAGAAAATGGCTTTAATTATCTTTGGATAATGAGAAAATTAACTAAATTTCTAGAGAAAACCAAAGTGAAAAAGTACCTGAGGGACACGACCGCTCTCAGCTATATATATATATATATATATATATATATATATATATATATATATATATATATATATATATATATATATATATATAGCAGTTGACAGTTAGTTGAACTTCAAGTCAAGCCACAGGGGGCGATACTGCAACAGGATGGATGATATCCAACATATAAAGGGAAACCGAAGAAGAGGCAGCAACAGCAGAAGAAGAAAGTTTTTTTTGTTTTCTTTTTTAAGAGAAAAGCTAAAGTTCTATGCGGTCATTTCATTTTGCTCTCGTTCACAATTTCAATCAGCTCTACGTGCATTATCGATCGACCCCGCTGACTCTCCGCCGGTGTCTGGCGTTCTCTGTCTCAAACGCCGCTCTACTTCCAGCTTCTCTCCGCTGTGTGGTTTCACTTTCATAGTGGGGTAAAAATACCAGAGTTAAGCTGAGCTACCGAAAGACTATCGATTCAATACAGATGACAGTTTTCATTCCGGATTTATAGAGACTTGTGGTACGTTTCTTTCTTAAATTGTCAGCTTTCCTGCTAAGTGTAGAGCTAGCTATGAAGCTAACGTTAGCTCCAAGCTGCAGCATCAGTCGCTCTGGTGAAGTTTTGTTCTAATCATCCTGAAAGACTTTACATAGTCCGTTTCCGTTTGGCATTTGGCAAAGGTTATTGTGAATATTTTGGTCTGACGTAGTATAAGTCTAATTACTAATCAAAGGAGGTTCTTAGTTTAGCTTTAAACTGTCAGCCAAGGAGGTTTTAACTATTTAGGTGGGTTGTCATTATAAGGTCTTTAACACTTTTTATTGCACCGTTTTTTAGATGTTTCAGCTGGTCGGATTATGCTCTGTGTTTTGGGAAGATGTAGAAAAGAATTTAAACATTGTCTTATAGTCATAAACTGTTTTTAGTTTTCTAAGTTTAGTTTATTCATCTTCAACCATATTTATTTCAGTTAGAATAAGCATAATGTAGTCTACTTGCAAAACCATTTTTATTTAAACAAAAGCAAAAAAAAAATAAAATAAAAAAACTGGTTTCTATGAAATGCACCATTAAAAGCTGCATGATATAAACTTGTACCCTGGGAGCAGATTTACTGTCCTAATTTTTAATTAAATATTCTTGTAAAATCCTGAACTTTAAGTCTGAAATTTTCTTAGGTTAACTGAATAAATATAGAATTTTGCTTCTTAGAAACATCAAAAAGTACTTTTTTTTATATGTAAATATTTACTCTACAATATGCAATATATATTTCTTTATCAGGATTGATATGGAAAAAATACCACATGAATTTCTGTTTATATTGCCTTTAACATACCCTCCTTTTAAATAAATTATGAATTCAAACTAATAATTCCAATACTAAACATTTACTAAATACTTTTTAAAAATAAGATATTTACTTTGAATAATACATGAATTTCTGTTTTTATTGCCTTGTTTCTTAAAAACAGTTATTTAAAACT